CCGTCCTAGAATACAGGGGTTTTCATAATATATTGTTCCTAGAATACAGGGGTTTTCATAATATATTGTTCCTAGAATACAGGGGTTTTCATAATATATAGTTCCTAGAATACAGGGGTTTTCATAATATATAGTTCCTAGAATACAAGGGTTTTTCATAGTAAATTGTTCCTAGAATATATTTAAAATTTGGTGATAGTGATGGACCAAACCTCTAAAGAGTAAAAAAAAGTAGATTTTAGTTAAAAATGAAATGTTAAAAACCAAAAGAAACTAAACAAGCAAAAAATATTATTTAAAAAAATTAAATGGGATGTCAAATATATTGTTCCTAGAAAACAGTGTGTTTAAGAATATTTTTCGCTGGAATAATGGAAACTCATAGAACTGCCACTTAGTCAGGGTTACCTTATCTCTCAGAACTGCAACTAGGTCAGGGTTACCTTATCTCTCAGAACTGCAGCTAAGTCAGGGTTACCTTATCTCTCAGAACTGCAGCTAGGTCAGGTTACCTTATCTTTCAGAACTGCAGCTAAGTCAGGGTTACCTTATCTCTAAGAACTGCAGCTAAGTCAGGGTTATCTTATCTCTTAGAACTGCAGCTAGGTCAGGTTACCTTATCTCTCAGAACTGCAGCTAGGTCAGGTTACCTCATATCTCAGAACTGCAGCTAGGTCAGGTTACCTTATCTCTCAGAACTGCAGCTAGGTCAGGGTTACCTTATCTCTCAGAACTGCAGCTAGGTCAGGGTTACCTTATCTCTAAGAACTGCAGCTAGGTCAGGGTTACCTTATCTCTTAGAACTGCAGATAAGTCAGGTTTACCTTATCTCTCAGAATTGCAGCTAGGTTAGGGTTACCTTATCTCTCAGAACTGCAGATAAGTCAGGGTNATCGATTGAGCCACTTCCGTCCTTATCCGATTCCTCGATCATTTCTTCAACCTTTATCAATGAATTATTTATGAGAATGAGATTTTTCCTGTAATAATGTAAGGTTATTTTACACTGAACATTAATTAATTAATTAATTATTTATTCCAAAAATAAAAGAAACCTCTTCTTCGCTGGGGTTCAATCCTAAACAAAAATAGCAGATAAAATAAAATTAAATAAAACTTGAGGCCGAATTTAATGAATTTGAGCCGCGGCTTAAATTTAAGCCGTGGCTGAAATATGGTTGATTCCACTTAAAATTGTATTCAATTTTTCAATATTTAAGCCGACGCTCGATTGAAACCAGTTTCTGGCAGATTTAGGCCGCGGCTCAAATTCATTAAATTTGGACAATGGCTACAGATTATGCAGAATCAACAAAGAGCTAACACACTATTTAAAAATGTGAATGGTACGCTGAGATAAATTTTCTGACTTACACAGAGGTCGATATAACGTCGTTTTTCTGCATTGAAAACCACCATTGAAAATAATCATTTTTCCGAGAGAAAAAGAAATTTATCTTATTCATCATAGACCACAGACAAAGGTTAATTAATTACTGTAGTGAATCGCTTGTTTGTTCTTGACCTTAAAGTGACAAAATTCATTGAGAACCAGAAAACTATGGAGAAGAAAAAAAGACGACTTTTAAGCTTAAGTTATGACTTTAAATAATCCAATGAACATGAGACACAGCAATTGTTAAGTTTAAACAGACCCATATTACTTAATAAGTGATTTAATAGATTATATCTAATTTCTTTGTAACAAGATCAAATACGTATAAGAAATGATAAAACGTTGTCTTCCTGTATCCACAGTTTTCTGGGTCTCACTGTATGTACATTTATCTTTAAATCTAAAATTGATGAATTCAAACCTAGAGTTCTTAGAACAGTTCCCAACTCTTTAACAGATATAGTTCCATCTCCGTCCTAGATCAAGATTTAGGGAGAACCAGAAAACTCTGGAATTTGAAGACGACTTTCAGACTTAATTTATGGCTTTCAATAGTCCAATATGCAATATGCAATTGTGTAGTGTAAACAGACCCATTTCACTTTATTTGTGATAAGTGTCTTGTAAAACTATTTGCTTTGTATAAACAACATCAAATATTAAGTACAGCTTTAAAGTCGTCTTTCTATTTCAGAGTTTTCTGGTTATCACTGCATAAACAAGACAAATTATGTAGAATTAAGCCCATTAAAGACGACAATTGGACGAAATTTTATTAGTTTTCCCAAATTGATGATTATGGTATAGGAAATAATAAAAAGCAAATTCAACGCTAAAGAATCATATTTAAAGAGTTTCAAGTCGTCAGTGTAATCTCCCACTTTCTGGAGGACCCTATAGCAGAAAATTATTAAAAAAAAATTTTACCTTGTCAAACATTTGAAACATTTCTTTATAATGTTGAACATCTTCATCTTTCAGATTTTCCATAATACTGAACAATAAACATAATTAATATTTCTTTATAATGTTGAACATCTTCATCTTTCAGATTTTCAATAATACTGAACAATGAACATAAATTAATATTTCTTTATAATGTTGAACATCTTCATCTTTCAGATTTTCCATAATACTAAACAATAAATATAATTAATATTTCTTTATAATGTTGTTGAACATCTTAATCTGTTATATCTCCCATAATACTGAACAATGAACATAAATTAATATTTCTTTATATTGTTGAACATCTTAATCTGTTATATCTCCCATAATACTGAACAATGAACATAAATTAATATTTCTTTATAATGTTGAACATCTTCATCTTTCAGATTTTCCATAATACTGAACAATAAACATAAATCAATATTTCTTTATAATGTTGAACATCTTCATCTTTCAGATTTTCTATGATATAACTGAACAATGAACCCATATAAATATTTCTTTCTAATGTTAAACATCTTCATCTCTCAAATTTTCTATGATACAGAACAATGAATATACATTAATATTTCTTTATAATGTTGAACATCTTTATCTTTCAGATTTCCCATAATACTGAACAATGAACATTTATAAACTTTGATTGGGTGTCTGTTTGTTTGTTTGTCTATTTGTATCTAATAAACGTAAAAACGGCTTAACCGATCGGGCCCAATTTTTTTGGGGACCTTGTGTGACCCCAGCACTGCGATTTATTGGTCTTACGCTCTCAAGCTGAAATTGTTGAGAATTTTCCCAATTACTTCTAAAAACCCAACGCTACCTACAAGTGCTTTACAGTGCTAAAATGTACATGGAAAGGGCCGGCTACAGAACAGTGTGTTAGAGCGGTAAAATCTAAGCTTAGGGCGTTGCGACGCTTCAAAGTCAGCCCTGTCTTAAAAATTAATTAATGGGACTGTTTATAAGCAGGCTGAATCTTTGTAACAGGGAAGGGTTATGGATGATCGAATTTTCAAAAATTGCCTCAAACAAAACTCAATTTTTGAAAATATTCTTTGTTTGTTTTTGTTTTAAAATGTACAAACATGCTCACAATTGAAATAGAAGAAGGGCGCGAAGCGCCCTAAAAGCCTTGTGTATTAATATTTCATGTTTTATGCATTGATTTGTCATTTTGTTAGTTCTGTCGTTGATTAATTTTTGTCTGATCCTTTCAATTATTTATATAGACAAGTTCTTCAGTTTGATTATTCCTGCCTACATACAACTAATAACAACAACTTAGTCTCAAGTATTCATTCTTTTTTACTAATTTTCTAGACCTTTTGTTAAACTGCTAACAGGGGCGGATACAGGATTTAAGTGAGGGGGGGGGCAAGATTTTTTAGGAATAAAAAAATCCATAATTAGGAACAAAAAATCGCGCCGCTGGCGAAAATTTTTTTGACTTAAAAAACTTAAAAAGAGTCAAAATTAATGACTAAAGACTAAAAAACTAGATTTTTAACTTTTCACACATAATAGTTTATTAAGACAGATTTTTTTTCTGTTTTGCACACTAGGGTTTCTTTCCCTTAAGCATGCTATTGAGAAGCTATTCTGAAAATAGGAACAAAAAATTCCAGATTCAGGGGGGGGGGGCAAATGTCCCCCCGCCCCCCCCCTGTATCCGCCCCTGACTGCTAATTTACATTTTTAAGTTTCTATAACACAGCGTGACACAAAAATATGATTTATTCGTCTTCCTTCCCCCCAATATCCTCACACGAATGGGACCCCCCCCCCATTCGGAAAATACCCTCACTTCCCGCCACACGGTTTTTCCCCGTCATCATTGTTGTCTGTAAATTTATTGACCAAACCTTAACTTAAGTAAACAATTTGGAAAATATTAAAAGAAATTCTGCTATTATTAACCAATCACACACCGTAAAAACGTGCTAATAGGTCTCAAATGAATCCTAATAAAATGTTCTACAATGCTGCACTCTCACCTCAACAACCATGTTTAGACGGTCACTTCCTTTAAATGGGTCTTACTGTATGAGAAAAATTGTGATTTCAAGTGACAAAATGTTTTCTGTTTGTATCTTTTCAACAAAATGTAAATCGTGTGCATTCCCCCTTAGGATTATATTCCCCAACTATTAGGGATTAATTTGTAAAAACTTACACTAGTCGAGGTTGACATTAAAATTGATAATAGCAACAGGGTGATTCTTGATAATATCAGCACGGGGATTCTTGAAATAGCAACTGGGTGAATCTTGGAAATAGAAACAGGGGGAATCTTGGAAAATAGCAACAGGGGGAATCTTGGAAATAGAAACAGGGGGAATTCTTGGAAATAGCAACAGGGTGATTCTTGGAAATAGCAACAGGGTGAATCTTGGAAATAGAAACAGGGAGATTCTTGTAAATAGCAACAGGGTGATTCTTGGAAATAGCAACAGGGGGATTCTTGGAAATAGCAACAGGGGGAATCTTGGAAAAAGAAACAGGGAGATTCTTGTAAAAAGCAATAGGGTGATTCTTGGAAATAGCAACAGGGGGATTCTTGGAAATAGCAACAGGGGGAATCTTGGAAATAGCAACAGGGGAATCTTGGAAATAGAAACAGGGGGATTTTTGGAAATAGTAGCAGGGGGATTCTTGGAAATAGAAACAGGGGGAATCTTTGAAATAGCAACAGGGGGAATCTTGAAAATAGCAACAGGGTGATTTTTGGAAATAGCAACAGGGTGATTTTTGGAATCTTGAAAATAGCAACAGGGTGATTTTTGGAAATAGCAACAGGGTGATTTTTGGAAATAGCAACAGGGTGATTTTTGGAAATAGCAACAGGGTGATTCTTGTAAATAGCAACAGGGTGATTTTTGGAAATAGCAACAGGGTGATTCTTGGAAATAGCAACAGGGAGATTCTTGGAAACCGGAAATAGATTATTTTAAAAAAAGTTGTATTTTGTACTTACTCTGCGAGTTCCTTATTTCTGATGCACACTTCACAAGGAGTTTTACAAAGGGCGCATTTCTCTTTTGGACCTTAAGTGACATTTTGTAAAAGGTTACTAACAAAGACGACATCAAACTTTTCAATGACGATTACAAAGTAAAATTAAGTCTTCTGCCTTGAATGTGGTCTTTAATGGCTTATTTAATGATTTGGCAAGGAAAGAAAGCTGTTTATAGTTACAGGGAATCATGAATATAAGGAAACAGACAGTATAAATTCCGTACAGCCGTCTCTAAAGATGAATATAAGGAACAGACAGTATAAATTCCGTACAGCCGTCTCTAACGTATCCTCCTTTGCGGACACCTCTTAATAATCCTCCTGATTACCTTGACACAGTGTATCCCACTTGATATGGACATTTAAAAATTCTTTTTTTTTAATTCTGTAAAATGGAGACCGCTGTGAGACTCAAGCTGTGGTTAAAAATAGTAAAATTAATAAGATCACTTTTAAACTATAATTGCTTTATAACAACACAAAAAAACTGATAAGATTGTTTAAATGTCGTCTCTATGATCCAAAAATTATTAGTCTTACTGTACATTTAATTTTTTTAGGATTCAAGAATCAAGTGTCATATTTATTTCACACTGCAGTACTTATTTCTTCGTAAAAAAGATAAAATACGGTAAATCATATCAAAGGGACCGTAAGCTTTATTTTATTCAACCCTTTAAATAAAGGTTGCATTGCTCGATTTACAACGGTACTCTGTAAAGTTTTGCCTGATGGATGAATTAGATTTTTTAAATGTTTATTTTCATTTATGGTTTCTCTGCAAAAGTGATTTGCGTATTTTTTGCTAATAAGAAACAATGGAGAAATTATCAAAAGTAGCAGCGGTCGAGTCAGGTGTTATCCTAGCTCCACATTCTTTTTCCTTTTCATTTTCAGATTAAGGTTTAAAGGGTACCATTGTAAATCGGTCACTTGAAATTACACTTAAAGGGACAGACCGGCTATGTAAGGTACAGGGTGTCCCAAAAAACATGGGAATTCAATGACGAATTCGAAATCGTCTTTTCAAATAATTCTTTGATTTAGTATAGTGATACTAAGATGAATATAAGGAACAGACAGTATAAATTCCGTACAGCCGTCTCTAAGATGAATATAAGGAACAGACAGTATAAATTCCGTACAGCTGTCTCTAAGATGAATATAAGGAACAGACAGTATAAATTCCGTACAGCCGTCTCTAAAGATGAATATAAGGAACAGACAGTATAAATTCCGTACAACCGTTTCAGGATTCAAGAATCAAGAAAGTGTCATATTTATTACACACTGCAGTACTTATTTCTTCGTCAAAAAGCTAAAATACGGTAAATCATATCAAAGGGACCGTAAGCTTTATTTTATTTTACCCTTTAAATAAAGATTGCATTGCTTGATTTACAACGGTACTCTGTAAAGTTTTGCCTGATGGATGAATTAGATTTTTAAATGTTCATATTCATTTATGGTTTCTCTGCAAAAGTGATAATTGCGTACTTATTGCTAATAAGAAACAATTGAGAAATTATCAAAAGTAGCAGCGGTCGAGTCAGGTGTTATCCTAGCTCCACATTCTTTTTCATTTTCATTTTCAGATTAAGGTTTAAAGGGTACCCTTGTAAATCGGTCACTTGAAATTACACTTAAAGGGACAGACCGGCTATGTAAGGTAGTTGAACTGAGTTTGCAGTGCATGTAGTGGAAAAATTCTTTAGGATTCATTTGAGACGTTTAAAACTTTTTAAAGATCTGTAAATCCTGAGTTTGAGCGCAAAGTTGACGTTCAAAATCGTACTTTTGGGTAGATACATTTTTAGAATTGTTTTTTTAAACTATTAAATAACGACGACAAAAATGTAAACAAAATTCTACAGTAAACTTATTAGTTGTTTAGGAATAAGTTAAGAAAATAAAAATTAATTTTATCATCGAAAATATGTAATCTTATTCAATTATTAGTGTCTATATTCTCATTATTCTAGTTTCATTATTCACAAATATTTTTGCAGATTTTCTAGAATTTTCTATGAAAAGACGACATTTGAAGAATTTGTAGAAATCTGCGAATAAATTCATAAAAAATAAAAAAAATTCAATATAATAATGAAAACGAAATAATCGATTTTAGCATTGATTTATTGACAAATTTCTTTTGAGAAATATGTTCCTAACCATCTAATTAGTTCACTGTAGAATTTTTATTTAATTTTTCGTCGTCGTTATTTAATAATTTAAAAAAACGATTCTGAAAACGTACCCACCCAAATTCATGATGGCTTTTAAAATTAGGTGACACAATGCTAATTCATAACAAAGACGATATCGAATTCGTCACTGAATTCCCATGTTTTTTGGGACACCCTGTAGTTGAACTGAGTTTGCAGTGTAGTGGAAAAATTCTTTAGGATTCATTTGAGACGTTTAAAACTTTTTAAAGATCTGTAAATCCTGAGTTTGAGCGCAAAGTCGACGTTCAAAATCGTACTTTTGGGTGGATACATTTTTAGAATTGTTTTTTTTTAACTATTAAATAACGACGACAAAAGTGTAAACAAAATTCTACAGTAAACTTATTGCTTGTTTAGGAATAGGTTAAGAAAATAAAAATAAATTTTATCATCGAAAATAAGTAATCTTATTCAATTATTAGTTTCTATATTCTCTGATTATTACAAATATATTCTGCAGATTTTCTAGAATTTTTTATGAAAAGACGACATTTGAAGAATTTGTAGAAATCTGCGAATAAATTCATAAGAAATAAGAAATTCAATATAATGATGAAAACGAAATAATTGATTCTAACATTGATTTATTGACACTTCCTTTTGAGAAATATGTTCCTAACCATTTTTCACTGTAGAATTTTTACTCAATTTTTCGTCGTCGTTATTAAAAATTTTAAAAAAAAGATTCTGAAAACGTACCCACCCAAATTCATGATTTTGAGCGTCGACCATGCACTCAAACTCAGTAATTATACATGGTGTAAACGTTTTTTATGTCTAAAGTAATTCATAAAGAATTTGTCCACAATACTGCATACTCAAGATAACTACTTTACATAGGGCCCTTTAAAAATTTGTAAATAAAAAAAAATTCAGTGAATTATTAATATTATTTGCATTTCAAAATTGGTGAAAAATCGATCGAACTAATTAAAAACAAAATAGATTTAGTCTATATAAAAAGTGCTTCAAATAATTATTTCTTACCATTTTTCCCCGTCTTCTCAGCTTTTTCAACATGATCTGTTTTCATTTTTACTAAAAACATTATTTTGATCTTTTTTTAAATAAGCAGATCACACAGTACAGAATTTCTCACAAAGGAGGAGACGCAATAGATCTAAAGATTAAATTCAGTTTTCTTCCTTAAATATGTTTTAAATATGCTTTGAATAGGAAAATAAAACAAGGATTCGATACAGAAGTAAACAAGTCTAAAGTTGTAGGAACCATTATACAGGGTTACTCATCAAGGATAAGACTTCAGAGACGACTGTACGGAATGNATGGCGAATTGGACTAAAAACATTTAAAAACATTTGTCTAGTTTAATTACAACGATATAAAACACTCAATTCCAGAATGACTGAAGAAGTTCACACTCAAAAACATGTTACAAGATAGAAAAGCTAGTTTTAAAATCTTTAAAAGTAAAATTGTCTTTAGGTCACAACCCCTTCAATTTGAAGCAATTTGGTCAAGTTCTTAAAGTTACTCTACGTGACCCTCAATCGAAAGATTACAATGCTCGATTTACAACGGCACCCTTGAATCCGTAAAGTGTGGAAGAAACTGACGATCGTTCGTCTTACTCGTCAAGCGTTTATTTTAGTGAGTTTCTCTATTGCTTCTTATAAACAAGAAATGCGCAAGTCAATTGTGCAGAGAAACCGCAAATGAAAAAAAAAACAGTTTAAGGAAACAAAAACATTGATATCTAGTTCATTCTGTATCAGACATAGCTTTCAAGAGAACAATTGAAGATCGGCCAATAACACCCCCCCGTCCACTGGTTTTGTGACAGTTGGATCCAAGGATTAGTTTTTAACAGAACTTATCTGAATCCATTTATTTTACGAGATAGATGTCAGGAGTTTTGGGTTAGATAAATCTTTCGATCAAGCATTGTTATCCATCCATGTTCCTTTCATATCCTCAAATTTAATAGTATCCACATTGGATATCAAGATCATGTGTTCAAGATCAGTAATAATTTAAACATAAGTTCCGATCTCAGGCCACTAAAAATTAAATCTATGCCTAAAAAAATAAAATAATATAAGTTTACACAATTTATTTATAAACATAATATAAAATTAGGGAGCACTAAACACTATACACTACAATATATATAGTTAGAGACAAGGAATTCTAAGAGAAAGGAAAACAATGGAAAAGATTTGAACCTGGAGAAAACTGGGAATTCCAGGATAAACGGGAAGAAGAACGAAAATGAAAGAACAGGGAAAAACGTTGTTTCTAAAAAACAAACTCCAAGAAACAGGGAGTACCTGGAAAACAGGGAGTACCTGGACAACAAGGAGTACCTGGAAAACAGAGAGTACCTGGACAACAAGGAGTTCCTGGAAAACAGAGAGTACCTGGACAACAAGGAGTACATGGAAAACAGAGAGTACCTGGACAACAAGGAGTACCTGGAAAACAGAGAGTACCTGGACAACAAGGAGTACCGGGAAAACAAGAAGTACCAGGAAAACTAGGAGTACCGGGAAAACAAGAATTGCCTAGACAACAAGGTAATGCGGGGAAAAATGTGAGAACCTGTAAAAAGAATTGTCCTTAAAATACTGGGGAGTACGTGGAAAACTGGGAGTACATGAAAAACTGGGGAGTACACGGAAAACTGAAGAGTACATGAAAAACTGTGGAGTACATGGAAAATAACTGGGAGTACATGGAAAACACGGCCTTAAAAAAGGGAAGTATCGTATTATAAAAGTAAGCAAGTGTAGGAAGTCAAAAAGTAAGAATTAAATAAAAAAGTATGAGCGATAGCATTTTCATTAAAATCGAAAACATTGCATAACCGTAATTGCAAGATATTAAAACCATCTCCACTAGCATAGGCAATACAATAAAGATTTGAAAATGGATCTATTAGAAAAAGCAAGACTATTTGGTTCAGTTCTGTTAACTTAGGATAGAAAACTGAATTATTAAGAATAAATCTTCACTAAAATAAAATAAAAGGGGTAGAAAGGAAAAAAATAAAGAAGAAACACCGCGAAATTATAGATATTTTAAGCCCATAAAAAGTTGTTAAAAATTAAATCTTTTTCACTTTTATAAGAGCTCATAAATGCAAAAGTTCAACATTTTACACAAACTTTTTTTTTAAAATAAAGTTTTCAAACTTCAGACTTGCCTTGAGATATTTTAGGGAAGATGGTTCGCACATTTTTAGATCTATTGATTTTTCGGAAATTAGCTTTAATTATGTACATACACTACATAGAAATAAAAAAAGCAAATAAAACTTCTTGTTACTGTACATAAAATGTAAAAACTGTACAATACATACTTGAAATGACTTGAAAACTGAACCCTGCAGGATTTAAAAAGATAAACATTTTTTCAGATCTTAAGAAGGAGCATATTGTACACAGATAACCGTTTCCTGTACATTGTACAGGAAATTCGAGGATTTTTAAGATATGTTTTAAAATGCGTACTGACATTCAAAGCTGTACTTCTCAGCACTATAAAGTACAAGAATGGGGAAAACTGTACAGTGTACAACTTGACAATCAATGAATTCTGAACGAGTTAGATTTCAAATACAAAAATAATCTTGATTAAGAAACGATTTTTCAAAATTTCCAATAATTTTGCATCAATTTTGGTTTCACACACGAGATTTATTCTAATTTGAAATTAGAATATTTTCAAAATAACACTTTCTTCTAAGTAATTGTTAGAAATGAAAGACGATCAATCTTAACATCAATGGCGAATTGGACTAAAAACATTTAAAAACATTTGTCTAGTTTAATTACAACGATATAAAACACTCAATTCCAGAATGACTGAAGAAGTTCACACTCAAAAACATGTTACAAGATAGAAAAGCTAGTTTTAAAATCTTTAAAAGTAAAATTGTCTTTAGGTCACAACCCCTTCAATTTGAAGCAATTTGGTCAAGTTCTTAAAGTTACTCTACGTGACCCTCAATCGAAAGATTACAATGCTCGATTTACAACGGCACCCTTGAATCCGTAAAGTGTGGAAGAAACTGACGATCGTTCGTCTTACTCGTCAAGCGTTTATTTTAGTGAGTTTCTCTATTATAAACAAGAAATGCGCAAGTCAATTGTGCAGAGAAACCGCAAATGAAAAAAAAAACAGTTTAAGGAAACAAAAACATTGATATCTAGTTCATTCTGTATCAGACATAGCTTTCAAGAGAACAATTGAAGATCGGACAATAACATCTTTGAATGGAGGGTCACTTGAAATTACACACACAGTCCCTTTAATGCATCTGAATTACTGATGAAACTAGAAAGAATGAAAATGGAAAAATTGATTAACACGTTTATAACACGAGTTAAACCAATTCAAAACTATTGAAGCAGAAACTGTTCCTGTTCACATTGTTGCATTATACCAGGTTTCTTTTTAACTAAGAAGGAAGGGGAGAGGATGATTAAATTATAGGATTGTTGCATAAACCAAGGTTTCAGATTTATCGTTTTCTTCTGCACATCCGCTTATGCTCTCTAAAAAGATAAATTATCAAATAACTTTCTTTCTGTGAATCTCAATGGAAGAGATATTAAGAAGTCTATCAATAAATGTTCACCGTTTCCAATCAATCAATCACTCAATCAATCAATCAATCAATCAATCAATCAATAAATCAACCAACCATCCAATCAATCAATCAATCGATCAAATCAATGCACAGCTATTTAATCAACCTAGCAATGAATATATACCTAATTAATTAATTAATTAATCAATCAATCAATGCAATAATATTTTAATCAATAAAGCAAAGAAAATGACTATATAAATTAATTAATCAATCTATCAATAAATTAATGTCTACCGATAAACCAATTAATCAATGTATACCGATGCTGGTCAACCAATCAATTAATTAATCAAGGAATGTGAACCAATAAATCAACCAATCATTCAATTTTTACCTATACTAATCAATCAATCAATGAAAATATTCTTATATACACTTGAATGAATGTAAATCAATCAAGCAATCAATCAATCAATCAATCAATCAATCAAGCAAGTAATCAAGCAATCAATCAATCAAATCAAATCAAATCAATCAACAAGGCTATACCAATTCACTAATTAATCAATGAATCCATACCCATACCATTCAATCAATCAATCAACCAACCGATCAACGACTGCAAAACACTAAATCAATAAATGAAAACCAATCAACTAATCAATCAATCTGTCAATCAACCTGTCCGTATACCTGTGCCAATGTGACTGTTGGCAGTCAGTACTACAGTAAGCTGTATTCCAGCAGCACCAGTATATAGCCTCTGATTCACAATTATAACACCACTGCTTCCTCTTACTCTCACTCAACTCAACCCTTTGCTTCTCCGATAGGTTCTCCAGCTCAGTTGTGTGGTCCGCCTTTAATCTCTCTATACAACAATATTAGGATTAACATTTTCCCCAATCAATACAGAACGATGAAAAAAACAATAATCCCCCCCTCCTCCCCCAATAAACACATACATTAATAATTCATTTCCCCAATACTGAGAAATAAAACTATTAAAATAAATTTGGCTTCGTGCAAACAGCAGGGAAAAAAATTATATTTATTGAAAACTAGCTTAAGTGCCCGGCGTAGTCTATTTTACCCAATGGCAATTTGGTCCAGCCGTTTGGCCAGCTATAGCTAACAAATCTTTATTTATAAACGAAGAGCTTTATTATATAGATTACAAGCAAAGAAAAAAATTTACCAAGATCTCTCTCCAGACTTCTTGTTGCAACATTTACAGCTCTCTTCTTCTCTTGATCAAATTCAGCTCGAAGCTTCTCGGCAAACTCCTAGTTTCAACACTTGTATGCTTTCATGCTGGATTTTTTTGGGATTTTGAAATTCAATGTTTTTGTTTAAATTATTTTTAAACATAAAATTTTATCTGCATACGTTGCCATTATTAAATTGATTTTAGATATTTCCCCAAACTTTCCAAATAATCGATTTCCCAAGCGGCAACTCTCCAAAGATTAGGTTAGGCCTTCTGATGCACCGCAGGCTGAAATGGGGGACGAGTACTGCGGCTAGAACAGGCTAGTGGAAAATTGAACATTTGGGAAGTTGCCACTTGGTAAATACCTTTTGGAAGTTGCCGTTATGAAAATGCCTTAGGGAAAGTACCAAACACTGTTAAATTTTCCATTATTACTTAAGTAACTAATATTGCAAGTCTCACTTATGGCAAACGTGATGTGGACACTGTAATTAATACCTTAAAGTCCTTATCCGCTGGTTTCCCCCTGTTCTGCCCACAAATCTCTTCAGCAACCATTCTTAATAACTTGTTGGGAGTCTGCACAGATACACTCACAAACCTAGAAATAACATCATGTTTGGTTCAATGGATATTTGGTTTAAGGTAACTAACCTAGTAAGATGGCTAACGGATATTTGGTTTGGTAACTAACCTAGTAAAATGGCTACTTGATATTTGGTTTGGTAACTAACCTAGTAAAATGGCTACTGGATATTTGGCTTGGTAAATTACCTTGTAAGATGGCTACTGGATGAAACAGCATCGTCTCCCTCCCCCTCCTCCCTAAGCTCCTCCTTGACCAAAGGTCTCAACAGCTTGTTCTGATCATCCTTCACACCAAACTCAGAAGGAATCTAAACAACTTTATTTTAGAATATGTACCATAACACGACGAGGTTCACGCCCGGACACTTCGGCTAGAACAGACTAGAGGTTAAAGTTAAAGCCTAGAGGTTAAAATTAAAGACTAGAGGTTAAAATTAAAGACTAGAGGTTAAAATTAAAGACTAGAGGTTAAAATTAAAGACTAGAGTTTCCATTTAGACAATAGCCACAATAAAATATACGCTTGTAATAAATTTTACTTTTTTCTTTATTACCTGAATTTGTTGGCTGATCGTCTGCATCTGCTGCTGTTGTTGTGTTTGTTGCTGTTCTGCTTGAGACTGTTGCTGTTGTATCAACTGTTCCTGTTGAAGCTGTTGCTGCTGCTGTTGTAACTGCTGTTGTTGAATCTGTTGATCTTGTTGTATCTGTTGTTGATCTAGATGAATCTGAAGCTGAGGTTGCTGAAGATGATGAGTGGGACTAATATTTAGAAGATCCTCATGCTGCAACCCTGAACACCAAAAAATATTAAGAAAATTCAATTTTTTTTTTTACTTGATTTCTATTTTTGACGCTACGACACTAGTTTTTGACTATTTATGCCTTTTTAACATTAATCGTCTTAAATTGGTGTACTATCCTGTTCTGCCGTCTATGGCCTTCATGCAAATGATCATAGACAAACTATCCTGACTAACCATCTAACCTAGAGCGACAACTAACCTGGCTAACAAACTTACTTGGAGCGCCAGCTGACCTGGCTAACCAACTTACCTAGAGCGCCAAGTGACCTGGCTAACCAACTTACCTAAGATAAGATAAGATAAGAGAGGATCTGAAGACCCCCCCATTTTGGAGAGCCCGGACCGCCATCGGGGCTAACTCCCATGAGCGCAAGGTGACCTGGCTAACCAACTTACCTAGAGCGCCAGCTGACCTGGCTAACCAACTTACCTAGAGCGCTAGCTGACCTGGCTAACCAACTGACTTTGAGCGCCAATCAACCAGAGTAATCTGGCTAACCAACTAACCTGACTAACCAACTTACCTGGATAACCAACTAACCTTGCTAACCAACTAACCGGGCTAAGCAATTAACCTGGCTAACCAACTAACCTGGTTAACCAACTAACCTTGAAACTAACTAACCTGACTATCCAAATAACCTTGCTAACCAATTAACCTGACTAACCAATTAGCCTAGCTAACCAACCAACCTGACTAACCCACTAACCTTGCTAACCAACTTAACTAGCAAACCAACTAACCTGGCTAACCAAATAACCTGGCTAACCAATTAACCTGGCTAACCAATTAACCTGGCTAACCAATTAACCTGGCTTATCAACTAACCTGAATAACGAAATAATCTGACTAATCAACTAACCTGACTAGCCAAATAATCTGACTAACTAACTATCCTGGCTAACCAACTAACCAGAGCTGGGAACTTTTGAATAGTGGATATCGGGATTAATGCTTAGTTCTTAATCTCGAGATTAAATGAAGTTTTTTTCTCTTTTTATTAATCTCCAGATTAATTTTTTTCAGCTCTGGTTACTAACTTACCAAGCTAACAAACAAACCTGGTTAAACAACTAACCTAGTTAACCAACTAAACTAGCTAACCAAATCACCTAACTAACCAACTAACCTGGCTAACTAACTAATCTAAAGCGACAACTAACCTGAAACCAACTAACCTGGCTAACCAACTAACCTAAACCGACAACTAACCTGAAACCAACTAACCTGACTAACCAACTAACCTAAACCGACAACTAACCTGAAACCAACTAACCTGACTAACCAACTAACCTAAACCGACAACTAACCTGATTAACCAACTAACCTAAAGCGACAACTAACCTGAAACCAACTAACCTGACTAACCAGCTAACCTAAAGTGACAACTATCCTGAAACCAACTAACCTGTATCGAACTGTATATGAAGAGAAGGATGATGAGGGGAGGAGAGAGACTGCATCTGAACATGCTGCTGCAAAGATTGATGCTGAGATATCTGAGGTTGAAGATTATGATATTGAGGAACATGCTGGGGGGTCAGGGACTGGGATATTTGTTGGGACAACTGCTGCGACTGGGACAGCTGTTGGGATTGGGACAGCTGAGGCATATGTTGGCCAGGGGTAAGACCAGACAGATGAAGACCGTGTTGTTGAATCTGCATCTGTTGATGTGAAACCTAGAACAGAAAAGTCTGTTAAGAAATAAATCTAACGAAATATTATCTTTGCGTCGGACAATCACTCCAAAAATGATTTGACTAGAAAAGTTTAGACGGAGGGTCACTATAAAGTAAGCCAACAGTCCATTTAAGCGTGTTACGTGAATACCTGTGGAACAGTAACTACTGTTAACGGCAACATCATTGATTGTTGTTGATTGATGTTGTTGGGAACACTAGCAGTTGTGGTTTCCATACCTCCAAGAGGTTTAGGTTCTATCCGCCTACAACAATGTGTTTAACTTATAAAGGAAATGTTGTCGTTCATTTTCAGAAAAGATTTCTTAATAAAAGAAATTCCATAAAAAAAAACAATTCAATGGCAATATATAATAGAACTAAAGTAAACATTTCTTGGCCAGAATTAAGTAAATAAATTTTAAAAAATGATTGACGTCAGAAATGTAACAAATAAAATGTGGATATTTATTCGGAGAAAATGTAACATAAAATGTTGACGTTTTTTTAAGTGAAAATGTAACGTCTAAAATGAGGACGTTTTGGGGGAAAAAATGTAACATAAAAAGTGGACGTTATTTGGGAGAAAATGTAACATATTAAATGTGGACGTTATTTGGGAGTGTAACATCTCAAATGTGGACATTTTTTGGGAGAAAATTTAAGATATTAAAACATATTAAATGTGGACGTTATTTGGGAGTAAATGTAACATATTAAATGTGGACGTTATTTGGGAGAAAATGTAACATATTAAATGTGGACGTTTATTGGGAGAAAATGTAACATCTCAAATGTGGACATTTTTTGGGAGAAAATTTAAGATATTAAAACATATCAAATGTGGACGTTCCTTAGAAGAACTGTAACATATCAAAGGTATGTCATAATCGGGAATTTTAAAGGACTTGGCTGGCGTATCTACGATTTTAACTTTTAACTGTTGCTCTATTCGTAGATATTAAAAAAACGAATTTTTTTAAAGGTATTTTTTTCAATCCTTGTTTCAGTCCATCATACAACCCTTCCCAGGGATAATGTGAGTTCCCACAAAAATGTTTGGGCCCGATTGGTTCTGCCGTTTCAACGTCTAACGGTTGCAAACCAAAACGACGAACAGACAATCAAGGTATATATAAGTAGATGACTAACCAATAAGAAATGATAATTATGTTTACCAGAACAGAATACTACTCTCTGACTACCTGAGTTTGGTTGGGAATCTATTGGTTGGAGTTTGCGGACCAGATGTTCGTGAGATTGGAGTCAGGGGAGTCAAAACAGGTTGAGTTGAGGGTAGACCTAGTAGTATTTTCATTAAGATAAGATAAGATAGGATCTGAAAACCCCCCCCCCCCCCCCATCTTGGAGAGCCCAGACCGCCATCGGGGCTAACTTCCCCAAGAGCTCCGGCATTTTTTGTTATAATAGTGATATAATTAAAAGTTGCCATAAAATTAAGAAAAATAATATCCTTAACACTATAAATAGTAATAGAGATACAAATGAAGCTGATCCTTCTTTCAAAAAGTACCATACAGATAAACAGCGGTCTATCAGAAATCTGCATGTCACTTTAAAAGTGACATGCACATTTATGAAGTAGAGACAAGACAAAAAATATTGACGGAATTGGACTGTAAAAAAGTGATGACCTTCCTCATTGTTATTAAAATAGAAAAAAGGGTACTGTTGTGAGTCAGGCTAGTCACCCTGAAAACAAGGCGTCACTTGAAATTTGGTTTATTTTCCCTCTAAACTACTTTGAAGATGCATTTATTGATTCAGTATCTTTAGATGCGTCTGTTCCAACTTTCAGGTTAAGTATACAGGGACCATATTTAATGAATTTGAGGTTCTCCAGGTTGGTTTGTATCCTCGTATCCTGGTTTACCTGAGAAATCCAGATTAGCTAGACAAGATCCTGGTTCTCCAGGTTGGTTTATACCCTTGTATCCTTGTATCCTGGTTTACCTGAGAAATCTAGATTAGCTAGACAAGATCCCGAATCTCCAGGTTGGTTTGTATCCTTGTTTCTTGGTTTACCTAAAAAATCTAGATTAGCTAGAGAAGATCCTGGTTCTCCAGGTTGGTTTGTATCCTTGTATCCTGGTTTACATGAGAAATCTAGATTAGCTAAAGAAGATCCTGGTTCTCCAGGTTGGTTTGTATCCTTGTATCCTGGTTTACATGAGAAATCCAGATTAGCTAGAGAAGATCCTGGTTCTCCAGGTTGGTTTGTATCCTGGTTTACCTGAGAAATCTAGATTAGCTAGACAAGATCCTAGTTCTCCAGGTTGGTTTGTATCCTTGTATCCTTGTTTACCTGATAAATCTAGATTAGCTAGACAAATAAAGGAGATAAAGGGGGATATGAAGAGACCAGTGATTTTCAAAAAGATTCCCCAACACTGTGCAAAGTATTTTAATAATTATTATTTGTATTGCCGCTACCAAGAGGTGGAAGGTCGAGACTACAGGCATAAAGAGTGCATTTCTTCAGGGTTCAAAACTTGAGATATATTTATTAAACCACCTAAGGAGGCAAATGTAGACAAAGGTTTGTTGTGGAAACTAATTAAGTGCCTTTACGGACTGATGGACGCAAGCCGTCAATGGTATTTCAAAGTAAGAGAAAAGCTCCTTGATGCCAAATTTCAACAGTCTGAGCAACACCCAGGACTATTTGTGATGCATGATGATGCTGGTAGGACTGTTGGTATTGTGGGTCTGCATGTTAATGACTTTATCCATGCTGGGTCAGATTCATTCAATGATTTTATACTACATCCAATACTTTAGAGTTTCCAGGTTGGAAAGAATGAGAAGGAAAGTTTCATGTTCACAGGGTTTTACATAAAACAAAGTGGAGTTAATATGGTGTTGGATCAATCAAAGTACACTAATTCAATGTAAAGATCATTGAAATGGACCTGAAGCGAATGAAGGAGAAAACTTCAAGTCTTACTGAATCTAAAAGGACAGATTTGAGAAAAATGGCAGGTGCACTAAATTGGATTGTATTTGAGATGATCGAACTGAGCACTAAATTCAGAATGTAGAATTGTAGATGATCTTATTAGAGTGAGAAGAGCTTTGCTTAACACTAAGATGAACAAAGCTGAAATTCTCATTCCAGCCCTAGAAAATCCTAGAGATTGGCAGATTCTTTGCTACACAGATGCTGTTATAGGAAACCTTAATGATGGAGTAGATATCACAGGAGGGCATATTGTGTTTCCAACTGACACAAAGCAGAAGAAATGTGCTGTATTAGATTGGCAGAAAAACAAAATAAAGCGTGTAGTTAGGTCCACCCTAGCAACAGAAGCTCTCAGTATTTGTGATGGTCTGGAGACTAATTTGCATATTAGAAGAGTTCTGGAGGATATTCTGAATCTACCTTCAAAAACAATCAAGATACATGGTATTGTAGATAACAGATTAACTGTTGATGCTGTCAAATCAACAACAGTGGTGGATGATAAGAGATTGCATAGAAAAATTGGTGTCATCAGCAGCTTCTGGAAAGAGGGGACATCAACAGCATTACATGGGTCTCAGGTAGTAAGCAACTAGCAAATGTTCTAACCAAACAAGGAGTTAATAGTTGCAAGCTTCTGAATGTTATTCAAACAGGGAAGCTCATCTAGATTTATATTCTGAGAAGAAGGATATGATCAATGTTTTTATAAATTTGACTTGAAGATTATCTTGTGTTTTATTTTTATAATTTATTCTTATATTGTACTATTTTAACAATCAGTAAATTTCATGTACACAAATATTTACTATATTCCTTTGATTAACTGAAACACACATGTTATTTTCTAAAGATTGATTTTTTAAGACCTCTAAGATTTTTTTAAATGGATTTCTCCAAGAGTTCGGAATTGAATTCTTCCAAAGGTTCCACCAGATATAGGAATCTTTCCAAGGATTCTGTGAGTAAAAGGATCTCTCCAAGGATTCTCCTAGGGATCAGGATATGGATCTTTCGAAGGATTCTTCTAGGGACAAGGATATGTATCTTTCTGAGGATCCTTATAACACAAAGCTACCAAAGCATAAAACTTCCATTAACTTAGGATGTGACAGTAGAGCTAATTACAGAAACCTTGTGATTGGACATTCTCAGGTTAGGGATAAATGGACAGTTGTTTTGCCAGAAGAAGTTTTAAATTTTCAGATGGATTGGATCTCTGTGTCTGGTGGAAAAGCAACTGCCCTGGGAGAAGAAATTATTAGAATCCTTAGAACATATAAAGGAGATCAGCCATTGAGGATATCTGCTATAATATGGCAGAATTCTGTAGAAGAAACAAGTCTTGAAGACATGAAGAACTTGGTGAGAAAGATTCAAGAAGAGTTGGATTATCACCCAGACCATAAAGTGGCCTTTCCTCCAACTTTGCACTTCATTCCACAGCAGGAGTTAAGTTGGGAAAAAGTGAGACATTTCAATGACTATCTAAGAGAGGTTAACATTACAACTTGCACAACTTACAGTACAACTTGCACAAGTCTATAATGAAGAAGAAGAAAGGAGGTGGACTGAAAGTTCAACAAGTTGCTTTTGATGAATTCCAAGCAGGAATAGGTAAAGGTTACCATATTGCAAAAAGCAAGTAGCCAGAATATGTGAGAGTGATGAAGAAATATCATCAAACTGGATTCAAAGATTATGAGGGAGTCAAATATGATCACAATCCTAGGGCAACCAATCAGATCATGCTAATGCCAGTATCTACCAACAAGATGAAAAATCCTATGGAAGTTGACCTTAGAAGATCTTTAAATGATATCAAATCAAGGAAAAGGAAAGAATATGGTAAGAAGTTTATTGCTGAAGGAGAGCTATTGGTAAAGAAGATTGCTGCTGACACTGTCATAGATCATGACAGTAGGGAATTTCACAACAGGCAAGCACACAGAGAAGGAATTATGTCAGTTGTGAATAAGATTGCAGATAAAACTTTTGAAGAGGGAGAAGAGGAAACATGAAGCAGAGACATCCAAGTCAAATCTCATGGAAGAAAAGAAGAAGATTTTGCAGAAGGTGAATCAAAGACTCATGAAATGGGAAAATCATGGAAAATCCTGGGAAGACACTCTCATCAAACAAGAAAGTGATCTTGAAGCAAAGGAAAAAGAACTGGCAGAACAGGAAGCAAGTTTTTGCAGGGAACATGGAACGTTACAGAGCAATTGACATTAAACTTAAGTTAGCCATTGCTGAAAATGAGCTTGAGTTGGCCAAGATGGAGAGGGAAACCAGGAGGAGACAGAAGGTTGAAAAGAAGGCTAAGAAGGCAAAAAGAAGGAAGTAACAAAAAAAGTTGAAAAAAAGGATAATATAATGAATGTGTGAATGACTTATATTGTGACTGTCATTCATAATTATATAATAGGAAATGTCACCCAAACCCAAGTATCAAATATAATAGCTGTTCCAGATAGTAAGGGGGTTTTGTTTATAGTGAGCGTGTTTCAGTTAGTACTATGTGGCAAATAGAACATACCACTTAATGGATATTAGAGGTATCTTTACAAATTATTCAGATTGGTATTCTTGTATCCTGGTTTATCGGAGAAATCTAGATTAGCTAGACAAGATCCTGGTTCTCCAGGTTGGTTTGTATCCTTGTATCCTGGTTTACCTGAGAAATCTAGATTAGCTGTAGCCTTATATCCTGGTTTACCTGAGAAATCTAGATTAGCTAGACAAGAGCCTGGTTCTCCAGGTTGGTTTGTATCCTCCTCACTATCAGATTCACTATCTCCACCAAACTTGTCACCTAAAAAAGAAGCTTTTGCATAATGTAATGATGATTAGGAGTTCAGAGACCACAATTAATGAATAGCGAGATATCGATGAGCTGGGTAAATTTAGTTGAACTACTTCTCTTCACTCATCAGCTTGACTGAGCGAACAAAAGAAATGGTTCTGCTTAGTCTAAGTGGTTCAACTATATCTTGCTAGTTACGATGTTTCCAAGGACATCTAGGGGCATTACAGAAGAATACACATATTTAATAAAAATTGCCAATTTTTTTATACAAATATTTGTTGGGCTGATTTTCTTTTAAAATTTTTTAAAGATTTTTTTTGTGTTTAAGATTTCTTTATTTTTTTCAAAAGCTATCAGGGTGATTAACGCACCCATCTTCTGGATCAGTAAAGTTTTGTGTAATTTATTTTGGTCTTATAACTTTTTGTCTAAGAACTTTTGGTCTAAGTAACGCATATCCTGAACTCTGAAGTAACATTAGGTCTCACTAACATTTCGTCTTAAGTAACATTATGTGTAAAGGAACTTTTTGTCTAAAATAACATTATGTTTAAAGTAACTTTTTTCTTAAGTAACATTATGGTTTAAGTAACTTTTGGTCTAATGTAAGATTTTGTCTAAAGTAACATTATGGTTAAAGTAGCTTTTGGTCTAAGTAAGATTCTGTCTAAATTAACATTTCATCTAAAGTAACAGGGGAGGGGGGCAAGGGTGTTTTGCCCTCCTAAGCCTGTAAAATGGGGGGGGGGCATAAGCCCCCCTCCTAGAACTCAGAGCTATCACACTTTTCAAATATGAATCTGAAGAGAGAAGAACATAAAAAAAATTAGTTTGCTGTTTTTTCTGCTAGTTTTGTTTAAAGGAGAGATAAAGTAGTCCTTGTAAGGTAATGGGACTGTATGTGTACCTTTTAAAGTATTCAAGAAGCCAAATGTTTTGAATTTACAAAAATTCCGCTTCACGCATATTAGGCCCCCTCTCCCCAAGATTTATTTCTATATACCCCCTTGACTGAGTGAGAAGTACGTTTAGACTAAAATGTTTTTTTAGACCAAATGTTTCTTTAGACCAAATGATACTGTAGACCAAATGTTACTGTAGACCAAATGTTACTGTAGACCAAATATTACTTTAACCAAATGTTACTGTAGATCAAATGTTACTTTAAACCAAATTTTACTTGGACCAAATGTTTCTCTAGACCAAATGTTACTGTAGACCAAATGTTTCTTTAGACCAAATGTTACTTTAGACCAAAAGTTACTTTAGACATAATGTTAAGTTAGATCAAAAGTTACTTTAGGCATAATGTTATTTAGACCAAATGTACCTTAAACCAAGAAAAGTTAGACAAAATTGAACGTAGACAAAATGTTACTTAAGACTGAAATGAATTAGACAAAATGATACTGAGCCCATCTTCTATTTCAACTTTAAATTGTTGCTGAGCCCATCTTCTATTTCAAATTTAAATTGTTGCACAATCTTTAATCGTTTTGTCATCGATAAAACAATGATAATTTTTTTTTGCAGATTTACAATTTTTTACCTGTAAGCTGTGACACCTTCTCTCCGTCGAACGGGTCCCCGTAGTAGTTGGTCAGGAAGTTAGAGTTGTGTTTACACTTATCCAGTAGTTCCTGATACCTACTCAGCTCTTCACTAGCCTTGTTCCACCCACTTGTCTTCTATACAGCAATTAATCAATCAGTCAATTAATCAATCAATCAATCAATCAATCAATCAACCAATCATATACTAGACTCCTCTATATCTATATAGTTCTAGATACCTACTTAGCTCTTCACTAGCTTTGATCCACCCACCCGTCTGCTATCTATCAATCAATCAATCAATCAATCAATCAACATCATACTAGACCACTCAATTAATCAATCTTAAATCAAATATATGAATCAAGATAATAAATGAATAAAATAAATTGATCAATTAATATTTAAAATTGACCATTTGATCGATCAATAAACGAATAAATAAGTCAAACAATCAACCTAGTTAATCAAGATAATCAAGTTAATAAATAAACAAACCAATCAATCAATCAATCAACATGTGGTCTGTGGATATCTCTTCAGTGGCTGTTGATTAAATTTTCATACTATTGACCAGTAAGAGATCAGTTAGAGAAAATATCTGTCGTTTTCTGTTTTTGTATATTATTACCAATGTGAATATTTTAACTGTTTTTAAAAAAAAGTTAGTTTTTACAAATTTTACTCTTGTACCTTGATTTGCAGACTATGAACATTTGTAGAGATTGGTTTGACATCCTTCTTATTGACCCTATAAGCATGTAAATAATTACATCATTATAAAAATGATCAATGAGAACTTAAATACTTTAAAAATCAAAGACAAAAAACTAAAAAAATTTGGTTCAAGAATTTTTAGATCGCTGAATTTAGACATTTGGTAAGAAGAACTGTTTTTATAATAACATTAACTTTAAGGGTAAGGTTGCCAACGCCCCTTCCCCCGGCTTAAAGTGACCTCCGATTGTTGTACCTGGCCCTCTGATGGTATCCTCCGAAGAATCTGACCTCCAGCTCCCCGTCCTCCGAGGTTCCAACAACTTTCGCCGGCCAGTAGGGGTACCTTCACAAAATTTTAGATATTTTGGTACAAAATTCAGAAGCAAATAAATTAGTATGACAACTTTTAACCTAAACAGGTCAGAATCTACGATTTATACAAACTACCTCCCTATGAGGCTTACATCTCAGTATTTGAGAGGGAATGACTTATGGACTTATGACTGATATAGACTTTTCAGAAATAATCAATAAAGCCTAGGAGAGTCAAGGTAAAGAGGGGCAACGCAATATTCATTTGTCAGATCTTCAGAATTCCACCAATTCGGAAAGTTAAAAAAGTCAATAAATAAGTTAAATATTTTGTTGTCAAATTTTAATGTCACATATTTTTCTATATCCATTTTAGAGGGCTTTCCAATTATTCACAACCGTAGCTGAATTAATTAAAATATTGGGGGCTTTTTATTCATTATAAACATTTTTTTTTTAAAGTCTAAATTACTATATTTCTTAATGTTCAGACACTTCTGAGCAAAATATTTATTAGAACTAAGCGGGGTAGGACCAAAAAAAAAGTAGACAAGGGGGTATGTGACTTTCTAAATGGTAAGCCATTTAAAATACGTTGACGGTCCCTTTAATGCTTTGGCAAACTATTTGCATACACTTTAATTGTTATCCTACCCTGACTGTTGAGCGTATACTATCTCGTGAAAGGGTCTGCAGGGTTTTGCAAACCAATATTTATCTCCTCGTGTGCTGGCAAACCTGGAAGAACAAAAGTTGTAAATATAAACAATTGCAAAAATGTATGTTTTAAAGTTGTAAATGATAACAATTGCAAAAAAACATGTTTTAAGTTAATTTATCTAATGTGGGAATCAATTAAAGCTGTTTTAATGTAGTCTAAATGCCTATTATCGCCTCTTGCCACTGTTTAACAGTGTTTCGGATCCGTATCATTTTCACGCGGATCCGGATCCGGATCCTGACTCTGATACGGATCCGGATCCGAGGTAACTTTTGATTCTGTGAATACTTTATATATTTGAAATTTGCGCCATGTGAGCATTTGCCGCTGAGTAATCCTAAAGTTAAAAATGTCGTCATTACTATTATATAAATGTAAACATTGAATTATTAAAGATAACTTTGAAAAATTTTCGTCATGTAAATAATACATTTACGAACCATTTTGATTTATTTATTCCATGGTTTTGGTTAATTTTTGGCGCTACCCGGATCCATATCAACGTTTCCTGATACGGATCCGGATCCGACCAAATGATACTGATCCGACCGGATCCGGATCCGAAACGCTGGTTTTTAATGTAGCTATAAAATAACATTTCAACAATCTATATATAAACTTTGCTTGTCTGTCTGTCTGTATTATAAGATTAATTTTTTCTCATTCATATTTTTTAAGGTATTGCAAGATTTTGATGGAAATGTAGATAAAATTTAAGAACATTTGAAAAGTTTAAGAACTTTTCCCCCGAAAATTAAGAACATTAAGAACGAATTGCTGTTTTTAAGCCAAATCTTAAATTTCAGAGCAACAGGGAGCAACTTTTTATATAGAGTAGTAATAAATTTTCGTTTGTTTATATGTCTGATCATAACTCATGAACCCCTTACTTGATTTATCTCAAATTTTGATTAAGGAATTCTGGAAAATCACGAGACTGTTTTTGGCTTGGTTTCAAGTTCTCAGTCGAATATGTTGACTTATGAAAAAGAAAGTTGAGTTCCCGGGCTAGTGCTCGATAAGATATGTTTTTTCTAAACTAAAAACTAAAATTAGTCTAACCTATAGCAGTCCCTACAGGCCGATATCTCAGCTAGTTCTGTTATACAAGATCTAAACATCTGTTTCGCCTACCAGATAATAACCAAGCATTATTCAAGCAGGATACGTCGGACAAAAGATTTTGCTTTGTTATTGAAAAAAGGGGTTTGTGGCATTCTTAAATCTTTAGTTTAGGAATTAACTAGAAGCTTTTGAATAAAAACATCGATGAATCGATGAATCATTGAATCAATGAATCAATGAATCAATGAATCAATGAATCAATGAATCAATGAACCAATGAACCAATAAACCAACAAACCAACGAATCAATGAACCAATGAATCAATGAACCAATGAATCAACGAACCAACGAACCAAAGAACCAACGAACCAACGAACCAATGAACCAATTAACCAATGAACCAATGAATCAATGAATCAATGAATCAATGAATCATTGAATCAATGAACCAATGAACCAACGAAACAACGACCCAACGAACCATAAACCAACGAACCAACGAACCAACGAACCAACGAACCAACGAACCAACGAACCAACGAACTCAA